TAAATAAAATAAATCTTTCAAAAAATAATCAGAATCAAAAACTATAAGTGACAAAGATCATGTGTGCCTAAAGGGGCCTGAAGAAATTAGTATTGAAAATGATAAAAAAGGAAATAGTAATTGCAAAATAAAACCTTCAGTGCAGTTGACTTAACAGACCTTGATCAACAGCATTCCAGTCTAATTGAAATGACTTCCACAAAACATACTTCTCAGTCAAGTACACAAAGTAACCTCAGTTAATCAGTAAGTTCGGTAATGGTTTTATAGAGATAATTCAGGGCTGGCACAAATCTTTCAGTTTCCTTTAATTTCAATTTTCTTTGAAACAGAGAGGTTCAGCCAGCTTTTAGAACTACAGGTGTAGATAATGTCTATGCAAATCCCTCCTTTTACAGAAGAGGAAACAAGCCCAGAGCTTTATCATACTCATTCTGCTGCTCTTTTCCACACTACCTCCTACTTGTCCTACAGTTCTTTTTTCTGTTCTATTCAAACTACTAATACAGTAAAAATTCATCTATTCTAAACTATGTTTTGTAAGTAAAAGCAGAAAAAATAATCTGAATAAACTGGAGTAGTGTATTTTACTCTCATTAAATCTCTCTTCATTCAGTTACCTTGAAACCCATGTCCTTTTCCTACTTTGTAGTTCAAGACAATTTTGCTAACTTTGGTAGGCTCCTCCCTCATCTCAGAGGTCCAATCTCTTGGCATTAATATCTTCTTTAAAAATTTCAATATTCAAATTTTCAATTCTTTACCTATGCTCCAAACCAATATTCAGCCAAAGACAATGATTTGTGATATTTCCAATTCCAGAAAGAAATTCAAGTTATACTTTTTTCTTTTGCTAGGTTCAGTGCAGTAAAAGGAACATGAGGCTTGGGAGTTGGGCAGATTTATGTCAGCATTATTGTTGTGTCATTTATAAACTGAGAATTTAGACAACTTGCTTTCTGAGGCATATTTTTCGCACTATATTTCAGAGAATTGAAATGTCAGGCTAGACAAGTTTAGCAGAAAGTGGAAGTATTAAAAAATGCTATTTTTATCTTTCACAGCATCACAAACACAAAATAGCTAAGTTACAGGTACCAATACAAGTTTTACTTTATTTAAAGGACTATTTTCACATCTAACTCTATTAGATAATAGGTAAAAATAATAGTAGCCAGACACCTCTTAGGTAATAACTGGCCACATCAGTAACAAAAACGGATAGAATGTGAAAAGTCTTGTACATGACCAAATAACTTTTTTTTAGAAATTCTTTAACTTTCAGAAAATTCATCTTTTCCCCTTAAATGCAATGGTTTTCTTAGTTTTTTAACATCAAATAATCAAATAAAAAGGAATCAAGATGTTCGCGATAAGTGGAACTTAACCATAATCTTCTAGAATCAGTTATTTCTACGGCAAAGTAAAATAGATATAGAATAATGGTGATAATTTGAATTTACAGGGCACCTTCTGGGGAAGGTAGTCTGCTCTCTCCGTTCTGTAATTTCTTGCCTATCATACAGGAACGGTAAGGATTATTCTGCTATATGGAACAAGTATCTAATCAATAATCTATAAAATCATAAGTTAATTCTTAATTTGTTAAGAATGACTTAATTTTCTAATTAACAGAATAGAATCTAGATGTGTTGATCTCCACTATAGCAACATACAAATATAATGCAATATTTCATACTCACATCCATAAATTCTAGTAAATTATTCCATAAACTCATAAGTATTTTATTTTCTACTTAATTACATTAAGTCAAGATGAACAGTATAGTAACTGTAACAACTACTTTGTACCAAGAGCTGAGGTGAAGCCATATTCGGTAATAATTTCTCATGGTTTTGTAGTTCTTCTTTTATATTCAAGTATATTTTTATTTTGACCAATTCTCTATAAATTTATTTTCCCTTCCCTACTACTAATTCTCTGTGTTCTGATGTGATCCAATTTTCCTCATATACTTTAGAACTCTGTTCCATAAGTTATAGCCACTTTTTATATCTTTCTTGTCCAGGAATACTTTTCTGTATAATTTCCTGACTACCTCTGCCATTCTTGGAAATATTAAGCTCCTTAAGATCCTTAAGAATCTGATCATTCTAAAGTATTTTGTTCATACTTCTAGTATGAACGAGGAAACAAGCTGGGGAGCAACTGAGCAAAGGAACAAGTAAGAGCTTCAAAGCTGGCTCTGGTACTATAATCTGCTTGACCCTGGACATAGTTCTTGAATCTCGGATTCTTGATCTGTCAAATAGGAAAAATTAACAATTCATTTGAGCAAGACTGTAATGAGGACTATGGGGAATGACTATGAAGCACACAAAACTGATACTATAATACAGTGTATTATAGTTTGTTATAGGATGGTCTGTATGTCTATTCAGATCACTGGTTCACAATTTTGGAGGGGGAGATAGTGAGAGGATTTAAGAACTGCTAGAAGTTCAAATTACTCTTCTCTCGCCTAACTGAAATCAATATCTTTGAATATAAACTCCTTGAAGTTATGACTCTATATCTCTGGATCTCTTATATCAAGTCCCCAGCCTTTATATATTGGATGTTTAATTTATGCTTGTTAAGGTAAAGAGAACTTAGCTGTAGAAATTAAGAACAGAAATTACTGGATATCCTAATCTCTACTAAAACAAATATTATTTTATAAATTCACATTGTTATATTCTCAGTATAACCTAGTTAATGTAATGCATAGAAAAAATGTTTCCAGGGCCCTCCCTGATGGTACAACCAGATAGAGCGCTGCACTGAGAAGTTCACCTCAGCCGCTGCACTGCGAGTTTGATGCGAGTTTGATTGCTGGGAAGGAGCTGACGCACTTGGTGCCTCCTGGCCCACCCATTGCTCCCCTCAGCAGTGTACTTCGTCAATCTGCCTGTTCTGCTCCCAACTCTGTCTCTGGTGACTCCTCTTACCCCCACCCCACCTCAGCCTGTACCCCTGTTCTGTATGCATAAACAAATCCTGAAAAGAAAAAATGTTTCCATTCATAAACCATTTTCTTCTGAGAAGCTCAAGGATCTTTACAGACATTATCTCAGCAATCCTTGTAACATCCCTGTGATAACTAGAGATTGAACTGGAAAAAAAGATGGAATATGAGTCCATATTCCACATGAATCCATAAATTAATATATTCCACAAATTCTGCTCAATAAAAATTAATTTTTCTCACTTTATATGCATTTTTTTACCATTCTGAATCCACATACTCATTACATCTGGATATGCTGGTCTAGAACAAGAATATTGTCTTTTTCATTTGCTTAAGAAAGTGAAATTTTCAGAAATTATTATATATATTAAGCAAAGCTCAGAACATAAAAATGTAAGTCTAATCTAATAAAAAACAGATGTTCAAACTACTGACAATTTTATTTCAAGAGTAAAGTATTTAGAAATTAGACATATCATTTTAATGATATTAACTTTATGGAGTGTTAAGAAGGGAAGTAGTGCTGAATAACCGATAATATTAATGATAATAATTTTAATGATACTAAAATTGTTAAATTTTAATAATGAGACCAATAGCCCGTCACAGCATTAACTTACTTCTGATCTTCATCACTTGATTTTTCTGTGTGAGCCTTTGCTAACTGACATCCAGTAACCATTCTCTTCCTTTCCTTATATAGTCTCCTACATGACTGATCTCACCCAGTCCTGGAAATCCTGTTCTCCTTTGTCAATAATTGGTCTAAAATTGGACCTGTGGTCTAGAGGTGGGGGGGTAAATGAAAACCAACGGGGATTCTTTCCTTCATGACAAGAGAGAAGAAGAATAGGCTCTTTTACCAATCCTGCCCCCCAAAGCAATTTCTTTGCACTTGGGAAGCTGTCAGCTTGAATCTGATTCTCTGTGCCACTACTTGAGATGACAATGAGGGGAAGACCCAAATAACATCAGTAATCCTGATTCATAACCTAGTCTCTATCTTCAGCCTTCATGTTATGTGAATAGGTGTTATTTTTGTCTAAGTCACTGAATCTGTTCCTTGAAGATGAAAGCATGTGAATTAATATAGACAGATCAGTAAATCAGGTAAGAAGGGAAGTAGAGATGAATTACTGAGCACTTACTATTACATCTATAATCTTAATCTTCAAAATAAATGAAAATTATTAGACTTTGGTTTACTCCTGTTTTATTTTTGTTTTTTAACATTTACTTTATGCATACAAGAGCTGCGGTAAAGGTCTGAGGTGCAGTGGGTGAGAGGATTCATCAGAGAGTGGGGAGCAGAACAGGCAGATTAATTTCTGTTTTAGATTAGAAAACAAAGGCTTAGTAAAGCTATATAGTAACAGCTGTGACAAAGCTAAAGTCTGACTCTAAACCTGATGCTAAAACTTGCATTCTTCTTAAAAATACAAAATCCCCTTAACTCTTGTTAAAATACACACCAATAAACTGGTGTGCTACTAACAGAATCTGGGAGAACTATGGAACAGACTTTACCTCTATCTTGCCACAAAGTTATATGGGGGAGCAAGCAAGAGTATATATATTTAAGTAGTTTTAGAACCTCTAGCAATGGCAAAAGCCCTACAGAAAAAATTAAAAGGACACATATGTAACACCCAATTTCCCAAGCATAAAGAAACATGAAGTCAATTACAAGCATTCCTTAAAAGAAATAATAACTTCCTGATTTCAAACTATTCCATTAGCCAAGTATCTTTCAATGTAGAAACCACAAAATTAACACTTCCTCAATTCTCTTCTCTTCAAGAAAACTGATTCAGCTTAAATCTTGGCCAAAAAATTATATAACACCAAGCATCAGCAAGGTTACTCCTTACTTAGAAATTTACTAAGACTGGGTTTTCAAAAGCTATTTATGTCATCTCAACCAGCAGTGTGTTCACCTCATTTAGCCTTCAATTTCTAATTGAAAATTAGAGCATTACAAAATGGGCATGCAAAATTTGAAACTGATACACACAACTTACAACTTACCTTTCCACATGCTCTGCAATGATGCCTCCTTTTGGTGAATGTAAATCTGGCTTCACATTTCATGCAGTTTGGTGCCTGAGAATCTGGTACCCATACTGGAGCCACCTCACCCAGAGTAGTAAATGGCTTTCTGGCAGAAATTCCAAATTGACCAGCTCTAAGATCATTATCTGGGCTATCTGGAGCTAATGCAAGGCACGGTCTACTGGATATCCCAGCCTCATAACTTTCTAAATGTTCCCCATTGGTGTCAGCAATAGAGATGTTTCCCAAAGAGGCATTGCATACATTAGTTGAGTTTTCCCCTAATTTTGCTTTCCCAAGAACATCATTTTTGTTTTTAATATTATTTCCATTGTTTGCAGGAAGATCATTTTGTAAGTGATCTGACAGTGGCTTTGGAATTTGAAGTTTAAGATTAGAAGGTTGCTTGGGTCTTGCACCACCAAAAGGAGCACTGATGGATTGCAAATTTGCTACTATCTTGGGTGAAGACTGCCCAAGCACTGATGGAACTTGGCTAGAGAAACTGTGTAAATAATTTTTCTTCATTAAGTCACCAGGGCTGTTTAAAAGTAGCCCGCTCCCTTCTGTGGCTTCATGTCCTCTCTGTTCATAAATATTTGAGTAGCATTCTGACTTGCTCTCTTCTATTTCTTTTTCTTCTGTTACTGAATCTTCTTTGGAGGGTAAGGTCTTTGGAACAAAACAAACTGGGTTCTGCATTCCATAGGAATCACAACAGTTAGATAGAGAATTTGTTGCTGGTGTAGCCACAACAGTGGAGAAATCACGTTCTTCACTTTCATTCGCACAAGTTCCTTTTAAATCTAGACCTGCTTCTGCCATTCTATCACACTCTTCACTATCACTATAATTGTCCTCAGATGGATTCATCTGCAGAAATTTCTCATCTTCTGTATTTACTGGGCTGTCATTCATCTCATTTAGTTTAGTCAATTTCCAGTTAGTCATCTCCTGAGAGTCAGAGAAATGCTCTGTTATATTAAGAACCTCTGTAGTGTCAAGAATTTCTTCATGTTCACAACCTTCAATTTCATCAGTTCTACCTACACTGGGTACAAAGCTATCTGAAAACTGTTCACAGTTATCATCCCTTCCAGACCCATTATGCATGTCTGGTTTGAGAAGCAAAGGTAAACTAGATTGAACAGACTCTTCAGTTGCTGTCTCATCAGCTGGCTCTTCTTTCATCAAAATCCCCTCACTCAGGTTGGAAAGAGAGTTTGGACTTCCTAGATCTGTCCTTGGAGAGCTGGTTTTGCCAGTGACAATCTCACCAGGCATAGAGTTGTCTTGGGTTTCAACAGCAGAACCTCCATCTGTTCCTTGTGATGACATTACTGAATCAACAGTTAAACCTGTGACTACAGATATGGAGGAGTCTTTACCTCTATCTTCACCATCCTTTAATTGTGAAGGAGAACAGACACAGGCTAGATTATCAGATGAAGTAGCACACAGATGTTTAACCGAATCCCCTTCTGCATTTGGTCTAGTCAAGGGATCCATTTGTTTTTCTGAGTTCATATCTTTTTCAGTGGATCCATTTCTACTAATACTAAACTGGTCAGTTTGTCTCTTTTCATTATCCAGTGAAGAGCTAAAGGCATCCATGAGGGATTGACTATCATAATTATTACAATCCTGCAAATCACTTTGTAATGTCCTTTTATCACAGTTATGCATGACAGCTACAACAAGAACATTCTTCTCATCTGGCAAACAAGCTAGGTTTCCACATTTCTTCTCTCCCACTTCAATGGCACTGCATTGATCATCTCTATTACAGTTCCTCTTAATTAACTGATCTTCTGCAACAGCATTTTCATCAATCCACATTGTGGTGATTTCTGGATTCAGACTACATTCCTGTCCTTTAGCAGAACTGTCCTCTCCCTCTGTGGTCAGAGCAGTTGAATGAGCAAGGGAGAAGACTTTCAGTTGTGACTGTGACTCGTTAGAAACTGCAGATTCATTCACACTGGCTAGTGTGGAGTTAAATGACAGTAAGTGAGAAGGGGTATCTAGAATCTTATTCCACTTTGTATCCAATAAGATAGGAGAAACTGTTTCATCTGAAAAAAATAATGACAATAACTTAGCTGATAACAGTGCAAAGGATTAAGTTGATCAACTATGTTTGCAAATTTACTCAGAAAACATAGTATTTCTCAGACATTAAGGTTTCAAATTTTTGGCTAAGAAAATACACTTACGCCTATAGTGTATGTCAAATGGTAATACCCTAAAACATTGCAAACAAGAAACTAATTCTACCTAAATTTAGTAACATAATTGAAGCTGCCTCAGGCTATACTGAGGGTTGATAGGCATCAGCAGTCAGGAAGGATCTGGACTGAAATGGCTGGGAAGATAGGGGCTTAGGAAGGTAAGGTGGGGAGAACTAACCTAAGGTGGAAATGAATAAGAACAGTGAAGAGAAAGTAGTAAACGAGTGGAAAGAAAAACAAAAGAAATTTCTGTGGAAACAGAATACTCTATAATCTACAGCATAACTGGGGTGTGGATTACATAGATACCTAGTTGTCAAACATACAGTTAAAATGTCCACATTTTAATGTAGATAAATAATAAGGCAAGAGTAGACATGTAGAAATAAAACGGCAGCATGCCAACATTACTGAAGCAAATTCTCACCTTCGTTTTGTTCAAATTCATCTAATACCTTGTCCAGGTTGTAAGCTTCTGCTTGGAAATAATTCTCCATCGGTAAGGAAACACCACTCAAGAGACTTGTTTAAACCTAAAAAATAGATTAAATTTTCATTAGACATTCAACTTAGTAGTTGAATAAAGATATGTTACAACTGATACCACAAAGATACAAAGGATTATAGAAGACTACTATAAGTCTACTATAAGTAGTTTAAGTAGTTATAGAACAAGGTGAATAACTGAGAGTAAATGGTAAGTCCCTACAAACACATAGTGTCCCAAGACAAAATTACCAAGAAATAAAAAATCTGAACAGATCAATTAGTAATGAGAGCAAACAATATTAAAAACCTTTCAACAAGTAAACTAGTGAATTCTACCACGTAGTTAAACAATTAACTAATCTTTTTCTAAGTCTTTCAAAAGTCTGAGAAGAAAACACTTCCAAACCAGTTTTAGTAGGCTTTATTCCAGGGATGCAAAAATGGGGGCAGGGGGTGGTGGTATTTACAAACCAATGAATAAAATTGTATTTCTAGTAGACATAGAAGCATATAGAATTTTATTTAAATAGGCAATGAGAAAAAAAAAGGAGTAAAATATATTAATTTTAAAATGGTAATGATGACTCTGACTAGGTTAATCTTCTTAAACCTCTTCTTTTAATGTAGCACTTCCAAGTCTTTATCATATTAGTCTATCTAAAAACATTTTGTGGGCATATACACTAGGCATTGTAGCTGTTCAATATCATTCCACTGTTCCTCCATTATCATGATCCTCATGCTTATTTACCTCCTTGATTTCTCAAAAGAAATTCTTAATAAACTGCATTCTGCATGGCTTTTTATTGGTATATGTGAAAGGACACAGAAGGGGAGGCAAGATTACAGTTCCTCCCAAAACTCTGAATAAGGGAAACACAAAGAAGGAAAAGATCAAATATCCTGTTATTACAAACTTCAAGTCAAAATTGAAAAGTAAACTTTCTTTGGCTTAAAAAGACAGCCCTCCCTGGTAGTGCAATGGGTTAAAGCACAGTATTATGAAGCTATCACAGCCACTGCAGCATGAGTTTGATCCCTGGCCAGGAAGTGACTCCCATGGCACAGCAGACCTCTCATGACCCGCCCACTGCTCCCCTCAACAGTGTCTTTCAGTCCATCTGCCTGTTCTGCTCCCCACTATGTCTCTGCTCAATCTTAACCCTTGCACCTCTGGCCTGTACCTCAGTTCTGTATGCATAAAAAATCTTGAAAAAAAAAAGTCCTTTTTTTCTTGGAGGCATTTAAACATGTCAATATTATTTTTCTCGTTTTACCAACAAAAACAAGAACAGGAGATTTAACTGTGTTATTCAAATATTTTCCTATGATTATTAATTCAGTCAATATCTATTTAATAATTGCTTCCTTTAGGCAATTTAAGTTTTGGCAGACAAAAAGGCTATATAATCTATCAATTTTTAAAATCTTTTATGTCTATGATTCAAAAATATTTTCATATTTTATTTTGATGAAGGCTGTATACTTAAATCGCCCAGTACTAAGAACACAAATGAAATTGCTCAATCATACTCTGCCAGCACATTGTGCGTATGTGTGTGGGTGTGACTGTGTCACACATATATATAACTTAACTTCATCTTCCACTAATATTTACTGAACATCTTCTATGTGCAGACACTATGAGTGTTGGAGTACTTCTTGAATACACATTTCTCCAATGTACTATGTTCCTTCCCTACTTCCAACTTCCCTATGTAATTCTGTCTTTCAGTTCTTAATTTGAACATGACTTTCACAAAGAAGTCTTTATGAAGAAGTGAAATCTTCACAAAAAAATAATCCCCCAGAAAAAGTGATTATCACCCCTATAATCTCTCACAGCACCCAATTCTTTTCTTTTATACTATTTACCATAATCTGTACACACAGATGTAATTGTTAAGTTAATACGAACCTCTCACACCAGGATGTAGAGAAGACACCTATTAAATTGGGTCCACCATGTGGTATCATTCCATTTATATGAAATATCCAGAAAAGGCAAATCCATAGACATAGCAAGTAAGTTAGTAATTATCAGGGGCTGGGAAACTGAATGGAAATGGGGAGTGACTGCTAATGGATATGAGATTTTTCTTTGTGGTGAAAAATGTCTTGGAATGAGATCATGGTAAGTATATATACTTACTCTGTAAGTATATATAAAAACCGGGCCCTCCCTGGTGGCGCAGCGGGTTAACCACAGCACTAAGAAGCTTAAGCTACTTCAGCATGAGTTCAATCCCTGCCTGCTCTGGAGGAGATCCACATGGCGAGGCAGACCTCTCCTGGCCCGCCCGCTGCTCCCCTCAGCAGTGTGCTTCATCGATCTGCCTGTTCTGCTCCCCGCTCTGTCTCTGGTGAATCCTCTCACCTTCCGCATCTCTGGCCTGTACCCCAGTTCTACATGAATAAATAAATAAATAAATAAATAAACAAACAAACAAATAAATAAAACCACTAGACTACATTGTAATATTGTTATTTATAGGATATATATATATATGTAATTGGTCATTCAGGTGATCAAATATATATTCCAAATATATATTTGGTCTTCATTCACATTTTATGAATGAAAAAATATATTTTGTTATATTAGCGAAGGTAACTTTTGAAAAGCACCTAATAATGAGGGCTACTTGCCAGAGAAACCAACATGAACAACGAGAGGGACTTCCAGTCCCATTCTCTGGTTTCCTGGGAAGGAAAAGGTTAGAGTTCAATTGCCAGTAGTCAATGGTTTCATCACCCATATCTATGTAATGAAGTTTCCATAAAAGCGTAAGAGGAAAGGGCTTCGAGAGCTTCCAGGGTAGTGAATACATGTGAATTTGGAGGAGAGCGATGTACCTGGAAAGGGCATGGAAGCTCCTTGTTCATCCCCGCCCCCAACCTACCCCCATACTTCACCTTATGCCTCTCATCTGGTTGCTGGATTGTATCTTCTTTAATAATTGTGATTTAGTGAGTAAAAAGGCTTCCTGTATTTATGTGTCATTCTAGCAAATCAACTGAACCTGAGATGGGAACCTCTGATTTACAGCCAGCGCTTCAGGAGTACAAATCTGGGGAGGTACCTGAAGTCTGAGGAGGAGGTTGTGGGTACCTCTGATCTACAGCCAATTGGTCAGAAGCAAAGAGTCACTTCAGGCATTTGGCTGGGGTCTAGCACAGAAAGCAGTAATGGGAGATTGTGTCCTTTACCTGTGGAATCTGATGTTATCTCCAGAATTGAGTTGAAGTCTCTGACACCCCACTGGAGTCAGAGAACTGCTTGTTAGTATGCAGAAACTTCAGTACCCAAAGAACACACTGAGAACTGGGTTATATAGGCCTCACCACCAACTAGAATATATTTAACTTTGAAAGGATGAGTTTTACATTACATTAATTATATTTCAATTAAAAAAGAGAGAAAGAGAATGCCTTGAACATAGTGGGAGTCAGAAAGCAAGGAAGTGCTGCAAGAATGATGAGGATATGTCAAAATTACATAGAAACCAGCAACAAGGAATACCCACAAGACAAATCAGACTCAGCACTTCACCTCTTGTTTTTCATTCTATTGACCAGAGTCCTTTTCGAAACTCTTTTAGGGGACCTCAATTTAGGGGTCCCCATTTTATAGCACAGATCTGATTGTTCCCTTTTTGAGTCCTTGATTGATTCTTCCTCTTTATATCATAAACTAATTACAATGGACATTTGTACATAATATATGTCATTATTTAGCATTACTATATACCAGGCACTGATCAAGTCACAAGATTACAATGACAAATGAGACAATATCCTACACCTAAATGTGCCCAATGTATCATAGGATGGATGGATAAGTAAATTAAAATATGAAACACTGTAGTAGGTACTAACTGATAATGTTGCACTGGGTGCTACTGGACCACAAAAGAGATGAATCCAAATCACTTTGACACAGAGGTTTATTACTTAGTGGGATGGGCGATTATAACAAATATTCCAGTAATTTTTCTGTGGTTCAAATAAGAGAGAAGTTTGTTTACATGTCACATAACAACTAAGGTCAACTACTCCAAGTTTGCAAGCAACTCTATTTTGTCCAGTGCAGGGACCCAGGTTCCTTCCATCCTAACTCTCCAGCATTCCCTTGCAGTCTTTAAGAAGAATATAGACCAATGCATTGCTTTCTTCGTGGACGAGGCTCATGACAAGAAATAAAAGTCAGTTGAAGTGATCAAATTCCTTATCTTAGCATTGACCAGTAACAGCTCCCAAAGAGCACACTTTGACTAGCACCTACGCTGTAGTCCTCACCTACATGGTCAAAGCCAGGTTATAGTCATATCTAAGTTGAGCTAAAAATAAAGGTTTAATACTAAGGGTTAAACTTCAGTCTCCTAAAAACATGGACATTATTTCTGCTCACATTCCTATAGTGAACTGAGTCACAGAGCCACATTAAGCTGCAGCAAAGGTTGACTGAACTATCACATATCCCCAGTTCAGGTACTATATAAAGGGAAAAGAAATTTTGGTGGATGTGGAGGGCAACACACTAGAGGCAATGAGGCCAAATTAGAAATGAATCCAAATAATTAGGCAGTGGGGTATTATTTGGAATAGAGTATGCTACTATCACAAATATTCCAGTCATTTATTATTGCTGAGAACATTTATTATGAATTATTAGTCATAGTCTTTGCTACAGTAAGTTGAGAACTTCCTAAAGAGGTGTGATACCTGAAGAATTAAGATTTTGGGGCCCTCCCTGGTAACACAATGTGTTGAAGTATAGCACTATGAAGCTACTGCAGGCACTGCAGCATGAGTTCCATCCCCAGCCAGGAAGGTGACCCACATGGCATGACAGGCCTCTCTTGACTCACCCATTGGTCCCCTCGGCAGTGTATGTCAGTACATCTGCCTGTTTTGCTCCTCACTCTGTCTCTGGTGAATCCTCTCACCCCTCCACCTCTGTCCTGTACTCCAGTTCTTAAAAACATAAATAAATAAGTTTAAAAGAAAAAAAAGAATTAAGATTTTGCAAGGTAAGGTAGAGAAGGGCACTCCCTTCTCACAATCAGAAATGGACAGGCTAGGGGCAAGAAATACCTTGCCAAATATAGGCCAAGAAGTTTTGTTGGAGAGGGCACTTCTGGTGAGTCCCTTTAGTTCACTATCAACTAAGAAAAAAAGAGCTCTGTCTCCTGTCACACACTATCAGATCCAGGCCCCTATCCTCAGAGCTTATACGGAAAGCCAGAGAACTCAAGTCATAATAACCAACACTCCATTATGAATAGCATAATCAGTTTCTTACCAATCCTACTCATTCATCTGCTACCCTCACTCCCACCTTTTACCCCTGAAATATTAATAAGCCTTAAAAGGTAATCAACGTAAGTGCACTGGAATATGGTGATGGCACACAGATGATTTGGTCATGGGAAGCCCACAGGGATTACAACCGAGATGGGAAAAGGCACAAAATGATGTAAAAATAAACTATATTAAAAATATTTTTTAAAAAAAAGATAATCAACATGATTTCTAATCAGGAAAAAGTCAATGATTCCTGCTCTACAAAAGTTAATAAGATAATTCCAATTTTCTGGAAGTTATTGCTCTTCATAACTAGCTTAAATATATAATATAAAATAATGTAATTAAATCCATATTTCTAACTGTTTCCTTGCCCCAAAATTAATTTTGTTTTGTTCTTACATGATGACTAAGAAAATATAAATTACATTGAGTAGATATACCACTATATTCCCTGAGCAGTATTGCTAAATCCATGCTGAAATTACCCTCCTTTGTGCAAGTTAGAAGTTGATTCTAAAAAGGAAGAGACAAGCACTGGGAGAAAAATTAACATTTTAACATCATTCAACAATAATTTTTTAAAAGATTTAGCTATTTATGCATATAGACTGGGGTATAGTTGAGAGGTGAGGGTTGTGAGAGGATTCACCAGAGAAGAGTGGGGAGCAGAACAGGGAGATCAATGAGGTACACTGCTGAGGGGAGCAATGAGCAGGTCGAGCAGGTCAGGAGAGGTCTGTCAGGCTATGTGGGTCATCTCCCTGGCTGGGGATCGAACTTGTGCTGCAGTGGCTGCAATAGCTCCATAGTGCTCTACTTTAACCTGTTGTGCCACCAGGGAGGGCCCATTCAATAGTAATTTTTTTGCTTTGCATCTCTACTTCTTGAAAAATACACTCTTGATTTAACAAAAAGCAATGACAAAAATGAAGCAAGTATCACATATACAAAAGCTGTTTTAACAGTTTTGGCTCTTTTCTAAATTCAACCTCTAAAAACAATAGCACTGTTCTTTTACCTTTTCCCCCTTATACATGTGATAAGGAACAGACTTCTCTGTGCTTACTCATGATGCTTGCTGCACCAGCCAGTTCTGCTGATTCAGTATGCCCTGCCGATCCTAAGGGAAGAAAAAAAAAAACGTTGTTCATTATATTTGCTCAAGTAATAAACGTTAATTTTCCTAATATAAACCTTTGCTAATCAGACAAATAAGGGATTTAAAAAACAAATTACATCTTCAAATTCAAAGACCTAGCCAGTATGAACACAGCAGCAGACACATTCATTTGTCTAAGAAGGCCAGAAGTATAAATATCAATAAACAATTAAGAATTTTTGTACACTTTTTATTTTCAATAGGTAACACAGAGTCAAACATCGAAAGCCAACATTTTCTATCTAATGATTTTAATTATGTAAGTCATAAAAATACTTATTTCCTAATATAAGAGGCCTAAGAATCCAAACCTAATAAAACTGCTAATTCACAAGAATGCCCTATTAGTATGATTTTTTCTACAGATACAGAATTCTTAAACTGAGATTAGAAATCTTCCTGCTGAGAACTTTATCACCCAACCACTGTTTTTTTATCCAAATGGAGTCTCTTATTATTCCAATCCTCCTTCACTACTTAGAAGCAATAGATTTATTAACCCAATATTAATCTTTCTATCAGGAGTATCATGTTACTTCCTTAATCTGAATACATGAATACTTATATATACATACCCATGAAGTTATAGTAGTATAATTAAAATACCTTAGGGATAATTTGAAATTCTTTAAAAGCCTAACTTTAGCCTTGAGCAAGACTATTAGTTAATCAGAATATAACTAAGAATTTAATATTATTTGAACAATATCTAACAAATAACATTAATATATAATCATAGAATTTTTGGAAAAAGCTTACAGGTGATCAATGAATATCACTTAATTTTAAAGATAAAGTGAGGCACTAAAAGAAATTTCCTGACCTCACTATAAGTCTATTATCTGATGTGAAACTGATGTGCTTACTAAAAAATTACAGAGTAAGAAAAAGGTCTAAACTCAAGTTTCCAGGTCTAAAATTCAAGTTTCTAGACACAAAAAAAAAAAAAATGTGGACTAATAATCACTGATGAAAGATTTACTTGTCTTGGGAAGTTGAAAAAATATGCATATTCTATACTCTCCTAGGGAGATGTTCATGCCATGGACTATAGTGGAGGGCCACAGGTGCCTGGGTAGTGGGTGTGCTATGGTACACCTAAGAGGTATATCCCATCCTGTCAAAACACTAGCAAGGGTGTAAAACTATGGTATGTCAATAATAATTTTAAAAAATATACCCTTATATTCAAATAAAAGACTAAATTGTATCAGGTATGAAAGAGCTTTAAGGAGTCTTCCCTTTAACATCTAGCTAGTTGAAGATTTTTTAAGCAAATAAAATTAATTCTACAGATTCAAAGTCAAATCCTGTTTGAGTGTGTATGCATGTGTGACTGCACTTTTTAAAAAAAAAAAGATTTATTTATGCATACAGAACTGGGGTACAGGCTAGAGGTCCAGGGGCAGTGAGAGGATTCACCAGAGACAGAGTAGGGAGAAGATTAGGAATATCGACAAAGTACACTGCTGAGGGGAGCAGCGGGCAAGACAGGAGAGGTCTCCTGTGCCATGTGCCTCCTGGGCCAGTGATCCAACTTGCACTAAAGCAGCTGTGGCTAGCTTGCAGTGCTGAGTCCTAACCTGTTGTGCCACCAGGGAGGGCCTGAATGTACATGTTTTAGTGTATGTGGAAAGTCAAATAATATTATGAAACCGTCCTAAATAGGACAGAATTATGTCCTTTGATCATTTAGCTTCAATGGCAAAGTCTCAATACTGATTAAATCCAGCTGTCTGTCTATTCAATTCACTCACCCGTCCAGCTTAAATATAGGTAGGGAGAAATCACACAAAACAGTGATTGGCCTTAATTTTACATTTATGACTTTACACTCTGCTTAGTCAACCTCTACCTCAATTCAGTCTTCACAATTCAATTCTTCCAGATAGCTCTCGTCCCCTTTAAGACAAAGTAGGGAAATTACTCAACTGATTAAGATAAGGAATACCTGCAAAACTAACTACTCCTTGAACTGACTGAACTGACTTCCCAACAATCTGTTTTCAGTACCACACCTGACCTAAGTCCTGAGAGAGGTTCCACATCACACATTTCTCTATGGTTCTTTCTGGGTAGTGGATTGTCTCATCATATGCCCTCAGCAAGCAAGTAGTTATTTGCTGCTTCAGTTCCAAGACCTTTATTTTTTCCATTTGTTGATATCATCCACTGTTACTTTTTATCATTTGAATAGGGTTTCAAGGAAGAAAGAAAATATATGTGTGTTTCAATCTTCCCTTGTGTCCACTCTTGTCTTTGAGAACTGACATATAGTTGAATATAGTCATTTCTTGAAAATGGCCTTGACATTGCTTATGTTCTAATAATTAAATTAAGAAATAGCTTAGTGAGACAAAGAAATACCTCACAGAGAGAACATGCTTTCCAGATGAGACACAGTAATTTAATACTTTTACCTAAAATGAGTACTTTATAGTAATGGTCTTTCCATCACTTTTTGGCATTATGGAATTGCTTTTAGGAAGGAATAAAGAAGTAAATTGATAGGTGTAAAATACATTATAAACTATCTAAATATAGTGCAAGTAAACAGAAAATAAAGTACTCATAGAACCCCTTCCATAACATGCCCAATGGCACCTCCCACTGTGAAATTAATAATAGTTTACTTCCCGTAAATACATTTATACCTGTAACACTTTTTTAACTTCACATGATAACCTTGTTCTTTAAAATCTGCTGGATCCCACTAATCCAATTCAGGAAACCTTTTTATTCATCCTTTCTCCCAAAACTCTAGCAAAGCCTTGTCACATAGCAGGTATTCAAAATATGCAGAATGATTTTACACAATATATAAGGCACTCCCATAACGATTCCAAGCAAATAACTCTTAATTTCATTCTCCTTCTCCTATGTCTACTCATCAATCTTACTTAGATTCAATCAACAGTTTCTAAACTAATGTTATTCCCTCCATTTTGTTATAAAATATATATTTCATAATCTTATGAAAATAGCTCATATCATGTCATATCTCTGATTAAAAATCCTTTAATAGCTCCCTATTTTTAACTACTAAATGGACATATCTCTGTCACAATGAAAAGGTCTTCATTTATAGCCACATAGCCAGATTTATTGCACTTTCTAGCTAACTAGATTCTCTTCTTCTCCAAAGATGTATCATTTTTAAGCATGAAGAATAGTTTTGGGGCATGGTATATAGATCCTTTTACAACTTGACCTCTGCCTCTTCCAACTCCTTCCCTAAGCTCCAATCATATCAAACTATCAGTATTGGGCCTCTCTGGTGGGGCAAGAGGTTACCTGTCAGCACTACTAAGCTATCAGCAGCCACTGCAACAACAGTTTGACCTGACCCATGATTGGCCAAGAAGCTGACCACATGGTGCAGCAGACCTTTCTTGTCTAGGCCACTGCTCACCTTAGCAGTGTATTTCAGTCAATCCGTCTGTTCTACTCCATATTCTGTCTCTGGAATCCTCTCACCCCTGGCACCTCTGACCTACACACCAGCTCTTGTATGCATAAATAACATAGTTCTTTGGGGGTGGGGGATATCAGTATTTCTGCGAGATGTTCAATCTCAATTCTCTATGACTTGCAGTTACTCAACATTTAATGAAACACTCACTGCTAACTTTACCTAGGAAGCCTTTCCCAATTCTCTACAGGCTGTTTTAGAAGACTCACCCCCTACTCATGTCATGTATCTTTCTCTACTAATGGTAGAACTTATGTCACAATAACTTAGATAAAATAACTTATAAAAAACATAACTGGCCCTCCCTGGTGGCGCAGCGGGTTAAAGCACAGCACTGAGAAGCTAAAGCCATTTCTGCATGAGTTCGATTGCCGCCTGTCCCGGAGGAGATCCACATGAGGCAGACCTCTCCTGACCCGCCCGCTGCTCCCCTCAGCAATGTACTTCCTCGATCTGCCTGTTCTGTACCCCACTCTGTTTCTGGTGAATCCTCTCACCCTCCGCATCTCTGGCCTGTACCCCAGTTCTGTATGCATAAATAAATAAATCTAAAAAAAAAAAAACTTAACTATGTTATTTATGCATACAAGAGCAGGTGTGTAGATCATGGGTGCCAGGGGATGGTGTGAGAGGATTCACCAGAGATTCATTAGACTCAGTAGTCCTAATTTTCATAAGGATGAATGTATATTATTTGTTAATAAAAGGAAATGGAATTGAGGATATGAATTTCAACTAATAAAAATCTAAACTAAAACTTTTACTTTAAAATATGACACTTGAAAAAGCAGAAAAGACAAGCATTTTAAAAGATCATCACCCTGCACTATATAACAGAAGATTAAAATTTAATAATAAGGGGAAAGAGAAGGAATCATCATTTAAAATTAAGAAACCAAGATTGAATTTTTAAAATAAACCAATAAGGAAAATGATAGGGAAAAAGATGATGTATAAATGTAAAATGAAAGCAATTCACAGGAATCTTATGTGGACATATTTATGACAGGAGAGATTTATGGGGATAATAACTTCCAAAACCCTGGCCACAAGTTTTAAAAAAGAGAGAAAGACAATGAGAAGGATCAATATCTTTTTTTTTTTTTAAGATTTATTTATGCATACAGAACTGGGGCACAGGCCAGAGGTGCAGGGGTAGTGAGAGGATTCACCAGAGACAGAATGGAGAGCAAAACAGGCCGACTGAGGAAGTACACTGCTGAGGGGAGCAGGGGTAGGTCAGGAGAGGTCTGCGGTGCCATGTGGATCACCTCCGGGGCAGGGACTGAACTCATGTTCAGGTGGCTTTGGCTTCTTAGTCTGTGCTTTAACCCACTGTGCCACAAGAGAGGGCCCAGGATCAATGTCTTATCTTGACTCTAATACTATTTACCACAGGGGCCTCCCTGATAGCACAACAAGTTAAGTCTCAGCACTGTGAAGCAATTCACAGCCACTGCAACATGTAAACTTAACATGTATAAAACTG